ACGAAAATCAGAAAAAAGTGATCTTTTTGAGTGGCTTTTATTTTGTGAAGTACGGTAAAACACTTGTAATTTTATCTAAGGCGAATTCTTTCTCTCTCTAGTACGGTGCGGAACTACTTATTTATCTCATGTGGCCAAATGATATTGAATTTTACACGGCTGAAATAAATGAGGTTGCCTGAGCTTCTTCTATCTCGTGTTGTGAAAGCTACAATATAGTGAAATGTGAAATAAAAAATGCGAAAAAAATAAACTGCGTAAGACAGCTGCTGCTACTATGCGGTATATTATAGAAACTTACTTGAGAGACTCTAAATTTGGCGCCAAGAAGCTCATCTTCTGTGCGTTAGCAATCATCTTTCTGTTTCTCCCATATATAGCTAGCTATACACAATTAGTTATATGCAGGGTTACCTTACCTTCAAGCCTCCAGGCTGTCGGAAAATGGAGAATGATGAAGGAGCTTATACAATGGATGTTGTGATTAGGCAGAGTTTTGCGAAGGAAACACAAATGTCGTTCATTTTGTACACCATAAACAAATATACAATTTTAATTTGCAGACGCGACCTGTTGTAAAATTGTAGCACTTTGCTGGCTGTCACACGGACATCAAATTATATATAGTGAAACCAAAGCGGCGAGATGTGGAGCGTAAAACATGTTGGAACTTCATGCACTGACCGCTTTTGTTTAGTTTGATAACCATAAATTTTATCCAAATATTATATTAAAAAACCTACTCCCTCAAGATTGCTAAATCTTTAAATCCCCTCTGGCTGAACATGAGTGCGCAGTCCACGTTCTCCCAGACACCTTCATATAAGGCGCATTCGTCCCACGCAAAAGTGGTGGCCTTCGAAGAAGCACTCGTTTATGAAGGTTAGTCACAGCAATATTATCTGCGTCCGAAAACTGAGCTGACAATCTTGCTCTTCTGTTTGTATGTAGAATTGAAGCGAACGATTTTATTGCTCGAAACAGTGGTGAAAACCAATGCCAATGAAAAAATTCCACGCATTTTGCGCACTACAAGCAAGCTTCGTAAAACGTTGTCGATGACGCAGCTGCAGCGAGCCGTGGAGCAGCTGCTGCCTCCACAAAACGTTTCCAAGCCCGTACTGCTAGCGCTGCTAGCCAGGATTGAATCCAAGGTTCAAGTTTATACCAGTAAATCTTGTATCACCAGTAAGGACGAAAACGTGGAGATGATGGATGCATCACCGGCGATAGACGCATCACCGGAGATAGACGCATCACCGGAGATGGACGCTGTTCCTGCGTTATCCACCGTATTGCTGCCTGTCGTAGATCTCATTGAAGTGGAAATTTACTTACATCTGTTCGTGCTGGCGGCCTTGATCAAATTTAAGCTTGCTGATGAAGCTCTCGATTTAGTGGACAAGTTGGTGGTTCGCTGCCAGCAATTTAATCGCCGTACATTGGACCTATTTCAGGCGAAAGTATTCACTTACTACTCCAACATTCACGAGTATTTTGGACACGACCTTCCTGCTATCCGTGACACGTTGCTAAGTGCTCACCGCACGTCATGCCTGCGTTATGATGAGGCTGGACAAGCCACATTAATCAATCTACTTTTGCGTAATTTCTTGATGGGAAATATGTACGAACAAGCATACAAGTTTGTAAGCAAGACGACATTCCCAGAATCCGTATCAAACAACCAGTTTGTGCGTTATCTGTACTACGTGGGCAAAATTCAGGCCGTGCAGCTCGAATACACAGAATCGTACACCAAGCTGATGCAATCTATTCGCAAAGCCCCCGCCAACACTGCATATGGCTTTCGACGTACGGTGTACAAACTTGCGATTATCGTGCAGCTTCTCATGGGCGAAGTGCCTGAGCGTAACGTGTTCAACCAGGATGAATTTAGTAAGGCACTTGCCCCATACCTGCAACTTACGAACGTAAGATTGCTAACACTGTTATCTTTGGTTTATTGCGATGAACTGACTTACAAATGTGTTGCTGTGATCTCTCCTTCGTTGAGATTATAGGCTGTTCGTGTTGGAAATTTGGAGGACTTTAATAATGTATTATCGCAACATGAGGCGGCATTCAAATCTGACAACACATACACACTCATCCTTCGGTACTTGATCAGATTTGATTTAAGGCTCTTGAAAAATTACTTATATGTGTATGGCGCTGTTTGTGTAGTTTGCGCCACAATGTTATTAAGACGGGTCTGCGCAAAATAAGCACCTCGTACTCGCGGATTTTATTCAGCGATATTTGCGGCAAGCTTGCGCTTGAGGATGCTCAGAACGCTGAATTTGTGTGTGCCAAGGCTATTCGGGACGGCGTGATCGATGGCGTGATTGACCATGAAAACGGCTGGCTGAAGCTAAAAGAGACCATTAATTTGTACACCACCAACGATCCACAAACGGCGTTTCAAAGACGTATCACCTTTTGCCTTGATGTGCACAACGAAGCTGTGAAAGCCATGCGATACCCACCTGATGCCTATAAAAAAGACCTCGAGAGCGCTGAGGAGCGACTTGAGCGTGAAAAGCAGGAGGAAGAGCTTGCTAAGGAAATTGAAGACGAGATGGACGAAGGGCTATGATTTGAGAAGGAGACCTCAAGCATTTGATTGGTCGTGTACTGATCGCTTTCTGTTGCCGCACTTACCGATAAAAGGTGCACATTCATTTGCAGCAATAGTAATAAATGACTTTCGTTTGACACAGCTTCAACAAGATCCTACTGTCTCGAGTAGATGATGTATTTCTTTTATTGTCGTTACACAGTTCCACTCGGTTAGATCAATTCACTTCTTCTGGGCCCAGAGCGGCGCCTGGTAACGGTTGGAGTTGTACGGCGATTGACCCGCCACCCAGCCAGGAACATTTTTCATGGCCTCACGTTCCTTCTCCAAAATGTGCTTCTCTTGTTCCAAGTATTCGACATCAGCCTCTGCCTGAAGAAATGGCAACAATGCAATTCGATTCTCACGCTCCTCTTTAGCCAATTCACGCTGGTGCTTGTTTTGCTGACCTACAAGGTAGTAGCCTACGGACGTGACGAAGAACGTGCCGAGAAAAAGGGACCATCCCGGTGGTCCGCGCGTAGCGGGACCATTTCTAACAAATTTGACCGGCGAATAGCCTCCCCTTGGCGGCATATCTTGGTTGGGCGTGTGGAAATTAGGCGTGGCCATTACTGCGTTTGCTGCTGCTGCGTGAATTATATTCTCTGTATGTGTACCACGCACTTTTGTATATTAATTTTGTTTTCAACGGAGACGCAATGGCCAATACCATTTGCCCAACATGCTCCTGTACCGAGATTGATGTAGTAGATGTGAGCGGAGACGCCGTGTGCGTGAGTTGCGGTACCATTCTGGAAGAGAACAACATTGTATCGTCCGTTGAATTTCAGGAGTCGGGCGGTGGCGCGCACTCTGTCGTAGGGCAGTTTGTGTCCGCTACAGCCTCCAAGTCTTATGGAATTTGTGGTACTAATGGGCGTAATTACGGTCTTGAATCGCGTGCTAGCACCCTGGCCAATGGCAAGAAGAAAATACGCCAAATTGCAGGCATGCTTCGCCTTGGTGATCACTACGTGGACTCTGCTTTTCGCCTTTTTGCGCTGGCATTGCAGCGCAACTTCACACATGGCCGCAAGACGCAGACGGTCATTGCTGCCTGCCTCTACATCGTTTGCAGGAGAGAGCGCTCACCGCATTTACTCATCGACTTCTCCGATAAGCTTCAGATTAATGTCTATGTGCTGGGTGGCGTATTCCTCAAATTCTGCAAGCTGCTGCAGATTCATTTGCCGCTTATTGATCCGTCGCTTTACATCCATCGTTTTGCGTCGCAGCTTAATTTCGTAGGTAAAACTCATAGCATTGCCACAACTGCGCTGCGCCTCGTGGCTACGATGAAGCGTGACTGGATCGAAACAGGCCGCCGTCCATCAGGTATCTGCGGTGCGGCCTTGCTCATCGCGGCACGCTCGCAGTCGGTTATGTGCAGTCTTTACGATGTTATGGACGTCGTCAACATTGGCGAACGTACGCTTAAGCAGCGGCTGTATGAATTTTCGCTTACACCAACAGCGCAGCTGACATATGATCAAGTAGGTAAGTTCGAGATGTCGCGTGTGGAGTGTGACCCGCCCAGTTTTCAACGCCACCGCGAAAAAGAAGTCATGGAGATGCTGTTGCTGGAGTCGAAAACTTTGCAATTAGAACCACAACGACGAAAGCGACGAAGAAAAATGCTGGAAGACGAAAGTGACGAAGACAACGACAGTGTTAGCGTGTCGGCGGCCAGGGGACTGCTTGACACTAAAGCGCAGCGCATTAAGGATGAGGAGATGTCCCGTTTGTTAAGCTGTGATGCATATTACAAGAAAAAGCAGGTGGAGTCATTACTTGAGAACGATGGGGCGATTGTTGATACAAAAGGATGTGTTATTGCCTCGAAAAACGATAGTGGCGTGGATGATGACGACGATATTGACTACGGATTTGACAATACTAATGAGCAGATTGTTAATCATGCTAGTCGCTTGGCGGCACAGGAAATTTTGTTTCGAGTGCGAAAGAAATCGACTCGCTATATCAGACGTAAGCGTGAAGAAACAAATTTTTACAAAACAATTGAGCGAGATCTTACGATGGCCCTTGAAGAGGAAACGAAAGTACGAGACAGCCAAGTTGATCATGACGAACAGGATGACGGCGGGACAGAGCACAGTACGCCCCCCTTATCAACAGCAAATTCCAAGGCTCTTTCTACAGTTATACGTAGACCGAGATCACCAGACTTGACGAGCGCCACTTCTGAAAAGCAGAGGAGGAATAGGGCGAGTGGCGAAATTAATGAGCAAGACGATAATGCTGAAACTTTTCGAAATGAGAACGTAATGTATACAAGTAGCGTTGCTGAGACAGGAAATGTCCAGGAGGGAGCCGTTGACTCGTTCTCGGACCTTGATGACGACGAAATTAACTCCTTATTGTTGACTCGAGAGGAAGCTGAAAAAAAGAAGGTTTTGTGGGAGAAGATGAATAAGGATTATATTCAGAAACAAGTGTGCCTCAATCAATGATTAAATCTATTTAGGTGCACCATTGCTAACACTCAGCATGGTTCTTACGCTTGCTTTACAGACCCAAAAATGGCCAAGTGGTTTGGCGGCGCCAGATGTTTCCAAGAAGAGAAGAAAAAAAAAAATTGATGTAAACGCGCCACCTCCTGATACGGCCCAACATGCAATCTATGTACGCACTTGATAAAATTCATGACTTGCACACAATTTCTGACCCGCATCCCTCCCGCTGTACAGAAATTAAAGAGCAGAAGGATCAATTACGAAGTAATTGATGAACTCTTTGGCGAGGCAGCAAGCAACGGACTTTAGAAGATAGATTAAAGTATTGACATTGATGCTGGAGCGAGAATACTGCGTACTTGAGCTGTGAGATGCTCATTAGTTCTTAATGCGTCTATTCAAGAAGACACTTTGAAGCGTAATGTAATCGTGTAATCATCTCTTGCAAAAAATCATACAAGCGCTGTGCCTTACGAATGGCACATCCTCGTTGCTTAGAATAAGTAAAAACATGACTAACACCCTACCTAGCCCATTTAATGACAGTTTCAACTTTTCACTGCTTGAAAAAGGCCAAATACGAGTTAAATAAATCTCTTACCTTTTTTCACTTAGCTCCATGAGCACAAGTTCATTTGCCTAAAAACACACAATGTATGCAACAAGTTTGCCATGCACTTTGCACAGAGGAAGCTTTGAATCTCAGAGTCTGCATCAGCAAACGCACAGAGGTTGAAGTTCGTGAAGAAGCCAATATTGAAAGAATACATATATAATGAAATATTTTTTTCCTCATAACAATTGGCTACAGTACTCATGAATATCCATAATGACTTCAAGTTTAACCTAAAATTCGTACAATTACTTGGTAAAATGGTACAGAATGTGAATCAATCAACTACACAAGTTGCCTCAAAACACCCCTCATGTGTACCACTTTGATATTCACACCTATTTGTCTTTTTGAAAAACCGTGCTAAAGTGGCCGAATGCTGAGTCTAGTACTCCACATTTTGCCCTCTGCCGTGCCTGCTCATATTGAGCGTACGTACACCTGGGGTCTACCCCCATGCACCAGATCAAATAGCCTAATAATCCCTAACTAAAAGCATGATTTTTGCAAACAAAGCGCTTAAAGAAATTTTTGGTGAAAATGCCGAGGTGTTCTTCGATGAGATCAGTTCCAGTGACTCTTCAGTCCCGACCAAACACCTCTACCCTCACCCGTCGATATACTGCCTGACCGTTCTCCAAGGTGGCGGCGCTTACTGTGCTCAGCGTCCCCGTTGTGCGGGTATCGGAATCCGTGCCAATTTTCATTGGCGGGAAGTGTTTGGACATCCTGCACAGAAACCCACGACGATATCTTGCCTGTTACTAACGAGCTGGACCAGGATGAAGGAGCCGAATTGCTATACTGCAAGCACAAGCGCCATGTCGACTCTAGCTTAAACCATTATTACGGTTGGAACCTAAAGCCGTTCGCCTTGCTGGCGCAGAGCTCGTGCATGCCTATGTGTGTAAACCTACTTATCCTCGCTAGAACATAACGTGGCATCATTCGCTCTGTGAGCGCCTTTCAACCCACATCTCATTACTCGTTAGACGTTTCGTCTGCGCTTGGAGTAGCAGCAGTTGGGGAATCGTACCTACCATGAGGGATGTACTTTGGGTACTACAAGGTGACGAAAGTACCGCTGGGTATATGTCAGCTCGCACAATGGAGAAAGATACATGCCATATCATCTGTCTTATGGCCTTACAAGCTAAGAGAAAAATCTGCCAATAGCATCAAACCCTGCCTGACTTTACAAAGCGCGCGCAAACGTCAAGGTAATATCCCGTTACCCACAGCTCCCCATGAGACAGCTGAACCAGCTATCATCCAAGTGTCCTTTTCACCGCAAGATCGGTAGTGGGAAACGCGCTGCAACGGGCAACCAGCCGCTTTCCCAAGGGATATGAGTCTGAGGGTTCACCAGGCCGTAAACGGCCACGTAATTACGAAACTCTTGGCTTAGTGGAATCTCAAACTTCCTCGAAAATTTTAGACTAGGATAAACCCTTCAGCTACACCGAATATTGGTGACAGCCCCAATTCATCCGTCGGTTCACCAACTGCCCTACGTGGAAGTAGACCTCCCGTGCTCATCGATCAGTGTTGACAAAGCTCGACGCCCTCTTCAGATGGCGGCACGAAGACTTCTCCGGGAATTACGAAGTACATCCTAGACTGAGATTCGCCGGAGCTCTCTGAGCTTTGCCTTTACGCTGGATGGCTTGAGGCATCCCAAGAGGCTCAAAACCAAGCCGCTGATTTGCAGCAGTAGATAGCTCAGCTGCAATGGATGGTGGAGAAGCCCGACTACCCCATAGGAGCAGTCCGTGTTAAGGTTCAGAAGCCAGCCCTTATAGAATACGAAGTGTTTTTGCATTCATTTCGGTATATAACATATTTTTGTGTGCCTTCTGCCTTTGACATAGGCGTATTGCCTTTGTTTGTTTTGGCTCTCAGCCATAATGTCGCACTCCCTGCGCGCAGCAACCAATGCCATTTTGATGAACTCACTGATTTGCTTGGGGGGTATTGGCGAACTGATATTTCGATTGTCAGCTTCCCCGTACACAGACCAGAGCCACTTCGTGGCGGTTTCGAAGTCACTCAGGCGCTTCTTATATCGATCGAAAAGTAAAGATTGCAGAGGCTTGTACTGCATTTGATAACACAAACGCATAGATTGGAACTAGCTCGCTTCGGCGCCGCTATCTCTCCGCGCAAGTGCTTTCTCCACCACGGGATTCATGCGTTTCATGTAACCATTTATTTGTGGATTTTCAGCGGTTGGCATACACAATCTGGTGCCGAGCACCCTGAATAATTTAACAATAAATCTACTGTATAACGTGGATTTTTCTTTGATACAGTGGCTACTGGTAAGCAATGTTGACGACACACTTTGTCGAGAAACAGCTTGGCAGTATACTCATCGATCTATTATCCCTGACTGAAGCGAGTTCAGCCATTTTGCTCCAACTGCCCACAAAGACGACGATTCCAGTAATATATTTGAGCGTCGTAGAAGGAAAGAGAAATAAGAAATCATACCGATGAATTGCCAGTGCTCTGCCGAAACTGGCATACTGGCCAAAGTTACTACCGCATGTAGCGGGTTTTAACCGGCTGACATATTTCATACAGGCACACATATGTGCATACCGGCTTATACGTGTCGGACCACCAAGATGTCGCACTCACCAAGCAGCATATCTTTTTTTCTTAAAAGGTAGTTAACCAAACAGCACCATGTACCTCGTGCCCTGTTCAAGATGTTGCACTGTGGTCCTCATCATGAGGCATCACTGGACGCTGAGTGACATGAGAATTAGTGCTAGAATTTATCAAGCAATGGGATCATGCAGAGCAAGGTAGATTTCCAACCGCGCCTTCTAAAAAAAGCTTCTAAGGTCTCACTCCCTGCTTACCGAAGCATTTAGCAGCGTTACACATGTAGCGTTTGACCCGTACGCTATACATATCAACTTATCAATTGGTAATGCCACTACTGTGCTATTGGTCCATATCTGATCGCGGCGATAAGAGGGGGTTTCCGCCACTTGATTTCATGGCCCTCTTCAATTCTTGCCATGTGTCATAGTAGCCCGGGTGGTTGATTTCCCATGTCATCGACCAATCCTACGCGTGGTTCTCCAAATGCGACATGGTAAGGGCCACTTGACTACGGTCATAACAAATTTGAACCATCGCGATAGCGATGTTCATTTCTTGCTGCCGAAACGTGTACTTTTCACCTTGATTTCTGCAGGAAGCTCCATGTATACCGACGGTGTCTCCACCACTTGAGGAGGCAGTGACGGAACTGGCGTCGGTATGTTCTGGGATAATACTTGCTCATACGCAGCAAAATTTGCTAAGCGTTGAGTGATCGCATCTTGATCCAATTGAAGTATGTCGGAGACAGCGTGATCTCCAATTAAAGCTTGCAGATTCATCACACACTCGCATTGCGAGTGTGTCAGGAATGATTTTTCTCCCCTGTTGATCTGAGGGCGACCATGTCCACATTGTCCATAGATGAATCTATCGAAGTATTTGGCGCGGGATTGATTCCAAGTGCTATCAAGTGTAACGGGAAGTGCCCATTCGTGTACACACTCTTTTTGAGGAAGGCTTAAGTCAGCTGACACGCCTCATTGCGTGTTGCTCGCTTCCAGTGATCAGTCGATTTATGCAAACAAATAGGAAAAGGTAAAGTGACATTTGTTGTGGCCAAGAGGCCTTGCACCTTCCATAAACTCATAAGTCCAACCAATTTTGTCTAAACAGAATCAAGGAATGTACAACTATTCAATTGCACCAAATATCGCAAAAATACAACAAGGTACAATTGTTCGAAATTTACACTAACTTGATGTAATTGTGGATATTCAGAAGTATAGGAATATCGGTATTTGTCAAAGTGAGGAGTCCGAGGTACACGTGGGCTGCTAGTCGCACGTTAGAATAGAAAGGAAGCTTCGCCATGGGAAATGGTACAGCTTATATGTTTTCTATTAGTCTAAATATAACTTATTTTGACTATATAAAGTTTTGGAATCGCAGAGCGATCTAGCAGTACTAAAAGATCGTATATGTTCACGGTTTTGGCTATAACAGGAGTGCACGAACACAACTTCTTTGCGTTTGTAGAAGTGGACTCGGAGAATCAGAGTGCATAAAAGATTCGTTGCATCTCGTGTTTATTCGACATCTTTCGTCAAAGCAATTACTGTCACATTATATGCGTACTACCGTGAAGGCGATTTGAAGCTCGAGGGTTGGAGCATTACGAGCGCCGGAAAATATGGACTTCACCCACGCATATAAAAGGTATATAGATCTTTGAGCAGCCGAGCATCACCGTGATACCCTAGATTTTACGTCCGTGGCCGTAACGCATATCTACGTCCTGCGTGCCCTTCACTTCGACGGCTAAGAGATATGTTGGGTTGAGCTTCCACGCAGAGTCATCCGTAAATTATCTTGCACGTTGATGTCGAGTTCCAGCAAGCGCATTGAGCTTTATGGGGAAGAAATAAAAATCATCACCCCCAGTTTTGCGATGCTATGGAAAGTCCTGGTATATTTAGTTGCGTTGTGCGATTGACGCAAGAAGGTAAAAAAACGAGAGCGTATGCGTAGGCATTGAAATTAAATTCGTTTATCTAGCGATCGGAACATGAGTAAAGTGTTGAAGGTTGTGTTGATCTTTCTGGTGAAGTTTGAAGTCTTTGACAGCGTTGAACGTTATCTCGACCAGGATCATAACTTGAGATATTATCGCATCCTAGGTCTTGCGTGGCATGGCTCGCCATAAGCTATGGGTCGAGTAATAATCTGAAACTCTTAGTAATGCTGTATAAACCCATCTCTGTTATAAAGCAGGAGCTCTACTGGTGCGGACATAAAGCTACGATATCTTTGATGCAAGACATCAAAATGTCTGACAAAGATAGTACAAAGTTCCTTAAAGTTATATCGCAAGGCAGAAGCGTCAATGAGCCACGTTTTACGATAAAATCCAAACAAGCAGTCGTATTTCGAAATCCTAAGCTCTTTTTCCTGAGTCAAGAGTAGGCGACGGTTTGTCCTGGCCCATAGAATGATTCTCTGATTGGACCACTGTTAAATGCCGTAAGCTGGTGTCTCCTGTGCTAGAACCGGTGGAGTGTAAGAGAGTGTGTGTTGTAGTCTCCTGGTCTATGCTGGTAAGTGTGTTTCAAAGTTGAAAGACCATGCTTTCAAGGCTACTAAATGACCCAATCTTGTCAGGATGTGACGACACTACTGTGCCAAAACTGCCCTGTGACGCACCTACCGTATAGAATAGTCATGCTTTACATATTCTAGCGAGAATTCACTGAGCTTGAGAATAAGATCTTGGGAATGCTTGCAATTACTGATACCGATATTGTGCTCTAAGCGGAATGTCTGAGCCAATTTACTAATCCCGCTGCTGTAAGCAATGCAGTAACCGATAAGGATATCGACAAGCTGTTTCTCAAGATAGAGATTTGCCAACATGGCTTGCAACTAGCCATTGTTTCGATACAATCTGCGTTTCATAGCAAAGATTTAGCAAATTTTGTTTGAGGTGCTGGGCACCAAATTGTACATGTCAAATGCGAGGCGTCTACAAGCAAATGGTCTCCTACCAAGTACTTTCGCTCTGTTTCGTGCGCTTTCAATTTTTGGCACTCTGAGAGCGATGCTGAAGCGACGACACCGAGGGATTCAACCTTTGTCCCTCGTGCCAAAGTCGTAGCTCAAAGTGGATCAACCACAGAAGAAGCAGAGGGGAGACGCACTCTCCGGGTACCCCCCTCTTCTAGATCGACAAGATAATCGATACCACCACATCTGGAATGTGGTGGTGGAACGTCCGTAGTCGGATCTAATCTTGGTGAAATAGCTGAGGTATCCAGCAAATGATAATACATGGGAGCCTCGTACTAACAGTATTCGCGAAGATCCCATTATCGTTCGTGCGTTCGGTGCGGGTCCGAAGACGGACCCTGCTTAGGAAATATATCCCTTTCTTTTCTCCCTTTGTCCCTCTCGTCGTAAACTCAACTGATGACCGAGCGTACTTTACGTGCATCCTCGACATCGGAGTGAACCCGATCAATGCGCAAATCGAAATGGCATATCGCGTACCTCCCTGAGTAAGGGTTCAGGCAATAACCGTTACAGCTCGGCACCAACCCACATATGATTTTTCAAATTCAAGCACAGAGCCATCGTCACAAAACCCCAAGCAGAGAATAAAAGGGTAGTTTTCTTCTTTGTCAAGAAAAGTTTTGTTGTAAAAGTGTAAATCGGGTGAGCTGAATGTGGTTGTGATAGCACTTTCGCGTTATCCGGACTACGAACAGTCGCATATCACGATGGGAATATAGCACGTGGACAAAAATAGTCGCAACGTGTGTTGCGTTGCTAAAAGCTTTTGAAAGCAACAATATTTTGAGCTCCGACGTCACTCGATTGAAGCCTTAAATATCGCGTTCGCACCGCCAATCGTTGTCTTAATGCAGCACTGAAACCTTGATACACAGCTTTTGATGGCGAAAGTATTAATACTAAATATAGTAAGAGGCACATTAATTCCTCTGAAAAGACCAACACGGAATAAAAATGATGCAAACTTAGTGAGCACCATTCTCTGGCGGCTCAATAAATAAAAAATGATATAGCACATAGTGTGCACGTGAATACGTGGCATGGAGTTTGACTATGCCCACATGTATTGACGGCTTTGAGCATTCCGCCAATTTTGGCCGGACGTCAGTAGGCTATTTGCATGACCTCCACTTTTATGTTCCAGAAGCGCGTCTGATAATATCAGTATAGTAGCATTTGTGGACTGCCGAGCAAGGTAGCTTATCCCCCTGCTATCACTTGTGAAGATCCAGCTAAGCTAGATTTTATAATATATGTTGATAACATTTCTATTATTATTGCTTTTTTCGGATCAAAATTTGAGCTGTGCATAAAAGTATGGGGATTTTGTTGGAGGTACTTGGCACCAGATCAGATACGTGTATCGCGGACCACCCCAGACAGAATAAAGACTTTGCTTTCACCGCGCGAGTGGGGGGTCTCCTCCAAATCACTAGCGCGGAGATCCGCGGTGCTAGAGCAAATGTTATTTATTAATTAAGTCGCGTCAGTAACGCTAGACACGCCTCATCGGAGCTTTATGAATGATTTGCTTATTCTCGTGTTTACTTGGCACCTTTACGATGTGGAGTCCGTAATGGTGAGGTAGATTGTCAACACGAACCTACTTGCCAAATTCAGAACGGCTGAAGTTTGTAGCAAAATCGACAATTTTATCTTGAAGCAATTGAGCGTCTTGCATCAAGTTCGCGATGCTATAGCTGAACGCCAGGATGTGCAAAAGCAACGTGCAGACACCAGAAGCAAATAAAAACCGCACGCGTTTGCCGCAAATAAAAAGATATAACAGACGTGATTCGCCTACCAACACATGCAGTACACTGAGTCTGTATCTCTCAGCTGCGCTTGCGCCATGTAAGACATTTTACATTCGTGACTAAAAGTGGATTGACTTACACTCTTGATGTATCAAGAGAGTATAGACGTATCATGTGCTCTACGTGCGCTAGCGAGAGCGGTATTATGACCCCATCCTTGGGGCTATTCCGGTGCGAAGCGCTCCTTTAATACTTAATCAACGTTTAAGCTATTTTTTTAAGTGCAGTGACAGTATACCTTCTGCTCTAAAAAATTATTTCGATTCTTTTCTGAACCGATTTCGGTACCATAAGCCAATCGATATGGTTGTTTAGCTTATCATGCGCATATTCATATATTGGCTGCATAACGAGCCCTTCCAAGTATGGTGTCGTGCTGCCATAACGCATCAAGATCATGAGGGCTAGTCACACGAAGGCTAGTCACACGAAGGTCGTCCTTCGTCAACTCCACTTGATGAAAATTAAGTGGCTTATTTTCATATGGAACGGATGGTGGGCCAGCGCGCTCACTATCAATTAAACCAGTATCTAGCGCGATGAAGTTTCCTCATTGAGAAGACTCGTGGAAAGTCGGGATTCGACAGTGACACAAAAACCATAACGCCGTACCATCCCTATAGCTGAGCAACAGTCTGCTCTTAAGCAGCGGTTTGGTTTTGAGCCGCTCTGGATGCCTTTAGTCAGACAGCATGATGACAAAGCTCAGGGCTCCGGCGACTTCGAGATCTTGCTAATCTCAGCCTTAAATGCACGTTGTAACTCCTGGAGAAAGTCTTCGGGCCGCCACAACATAGAGAGCTGAAGTGAGCAAGTCGCTGAAGGGTCGAGCTTCGCCGGCACTGCTCAATGATCACAGGGTGGCTCATTTTCACAAAGGCCACTTTCACTTAGGACATTTGGTGGATCGGTGGGTACACCGGGGCTTGACCAGTGTTACAAATCGCATCAATCCATGCTTGGCTTTGCACAGCAAACGTCAAGGCAACATCCCATTACATCCAGCTCCTGCTTGTTACATACTTTTCTGCCCGTCTCCTTGAGACTGCTGAACCAGCTATCAACCAAGGGTACAATATCAGTCGCCTCACACCAGAGGGAAATGCGCTGTTATGGGCAACAGAAACGAAGAACCTCAACGGAGATAAATGCTGAGAGTGTACTATGTCGTAATCGGCCACGTTATTATAAAATTCTTGACGCAGTGGAACCTTAAACGTCCGAAAAAGTTTAGATTAAAATTGGCCCTTCAACTTTATCAGATGGAGGCACGCGTATCCTGGTGTGAAGGGGTGGGTCACATACGATGGTGTGGCCACAAAATACTGCGGCTACACCTTCACAAGAAGCCACGACGTGGCTGGACTGCTAGTAGAAACGCATTTTAATTAGGTTTTATTATGTAATTTGAAAATCCATAGATTTAGATACGGGTGGCTTTGCATCAAATATAACAAAAATATACAGTTTAAAATTTGAGCGAATTTGTTCTTTGATTTGGGTAAGGGTTGCGATTACTCTTGGAGTAAGCGGATTGCGACCCGCTACACCCGTACTGGTTCTAAGTATGAAACGAAGGTCACCGACCTTGGCGCTGATGACTTGGCGACCCTCTCCTCTGTCTTTACATCCCGAGAGATAAAGCACGGTGCGCGGTATAACGCGCTTCCCATCTAGCAGTTAGGTCTTATCATGCTTTAAGCTGAACATCTGCCTCGCAGTTTCACAATGAAGTGCAGCGTTGTTCACAGCAAGAGTTGAAAGGTGGTGAGCGACCGGTATTACTGTTTGACCACACTCGATTCTAGCAGCTATTTACTCAAAGGTTGGCTGGTAAGGCAAAAAACGGGTGAGGTGACGCACTTTCTTTATCCAGTGCGTACTCTCCATCTTTTTCGCCCTTGCTTAGTACTAAGGTACGATCCGCATGAAAGTTACCGATTTATTGCACTGGTGCGGCTCGAAGGCAAGTAAATCTTCTTAATAGTGGTAACCTGTGGGATCAGATAGGGATTTTTGAAAAAAATATGCGCGCTCGTATTTTAAGCAGACGGCCCATATGCATAGGCAAATAATAATAAATTCAGTGACGTGAACTAGTCAAATACGGCATCATCAAAACCGCTACGTTTCTTCACTTCCAGACTAGCGAGCTGGGCTTGCTCAGCCTGGTCATGTACGTCGCAGCGAAATGTGGTGGTCACCCACCCGAGTGCTACCCGAGCTTGAGGCTTCTTAACTTTACAGAAAGAGATTTGAGCTACTGGAACTCACTCGCTAGGACTAAGCTTCCCCTAGCGCGGGATGCTGGTAGCTTTCCGACCCATTTTGGGACCAGATCCGTACCCTTCATTACACTTTGAGGCTTTTTCGGTCAGTAGGGCCTCTTCCAACCCAAGTATCACATACCCAATTGGTGCGCGTTGGCAGAGCGGTAACACTACGGGGGTGTGGTTGCTCGTCCACTTTAGTGACCTATCTCTGTCGTCCTTGATTCCAATCCTTTAAGTATCGAACTAGGTACCCTCAAACCAAGCTACAAATCACTTGAGCTAGAGATAGGTGCTACTAACCTTGCAGATTCCGGAACCCACTCGCTAGGAATAAGCTTTCTCCAACGCGAAATGCTGGTAGCTATCCGACCAATCTTGTGAGCGAGTTCCGTACCTCTCTTTACACTATGAGGCTTTTTGGATCAGTAGGACCTCTTTCTATCCAACTACCACACACCCAATTGGGTGCGGGTTGGCAGGGCGGTCACACTACAGGGGTGTGGTTGCTCGTCCACTCTAATGACCTATCTCCGGCGTCGAAATTCCTCCACGACGCAATTCTCGCGTTCCATCTGATCCCGCACCATCCGCGGAAGCAGCCGCAGCAGGAGGGAGAGCTTGTTGAGCCTGCTCCAATTGATGGATCTGATTTTTGATTGCGTCCCCAGTCGAGTTTTCATGACGCCAAGCGAAGACACGTCCTTCGCAAACGACCTGTCTGTTATCCTTCACGCATTTTTGCGCTAACGACACTCGATGGGTCACCTCGACCAGCCGCTGGTTTATCAACGAGAAAAGGATCTCTAACAAAGCACATCCAAGACGGGCTACCTTCGAATAAGGCTGCGTTACAACCAGGTTGGAAATCGCGTCGTCAAGATGGTAGGGCTTGAGGAGCCTTACGTAGAACGTTGAATGGGTCCTGGGCCAGCTTGTCAGGCTGATACAGCAAGCATTTCCATGGCACGACACTACTCGGAATACACCGATAAAGCGAGGTGAAAGCTTCTAGTTTCCCAAACTTGAGACCCCATCGTCTGATAGGTTCTTAGAACGAAGTAGTACATAATCCTCAACAATACAATACGGTTTGTCTTGACGGTCTCGTCTATCTGCGTATTATTTTTGCAGATCCTATGCGTTAATCATTGCGTCTCGCACCCGTGTGATCCCATTCACAGGACCGATGACGAATGAGTCCAGAGCGTTCTCGTACTTGCGCTTAACATTCACATCATTGACTGTATTAATTTGAGAGGCAATCATTTGCCAAGCTTCCAAACTTGACACCACCAATCACACAAAGCGGTACATGCGGGTATCGTAAACCATTTTATACAAAATGGCTTAATTCCAGTGAATAAATGAACCGAATCGCTCATAGCAAACTCGACGAATGGCAACAACAAACGTCATTCTGCAGGGTTTTCCGAACCGAAGCTTCTACATCACCAACCACCAACCACTCGGTTGGCACATTCTTCTTGCCCATGAGTCTACCGATGTGAACTTACCAAGCGAGTGCCAAGAATGCGAAACAATTCTCTCCAAGAGCCTCTCGTGTATCCTTTATTTATCAGAGACGATGGCGTCTGGTAACTCGTGTGATCAATACACAATTTAGCCGAACCTCCGACATCGATGACATCGCTACATGGAGCCATGCGGACCATCATGCTGAGTCTTCCATTAAAGACGAGCACCCCATTGAAACCATCAGCATTCTCCGGAAGCCGAAGATTAAGTCGTTATCAAAGGACTCCCAACAGGCAGTAGGAATATGAAGACTCTACAGTGGCACTTGCGAGCGGTGAGCGTCCACGTGTTGTGCCACCCACTTGTACATGTGGAGTTTCTAAAATTGGGCACTGAAAGATTGGGAGATCTTCTCATGGCCAAAGTGACCGACCATCAGCGTATCATACGCCTGGTAAAATATCCTGTACTTCAAATTATCGTTGTGAGGAGCCACAATCTGAGGATTGTCATCAGGTGCAACTTCATAGTGAAGGAGACTGTTTTTCCATGCATAACGATACAATCTTGATTTCAAGCGACCAGGAAGCTTGTCATAGAATTTCATATAGCTCAATGACAGTGCTCTGATGATCAGATAAATTGAGAACAGCTTGATGGAAGCACCATTACTTTTTTTGCACGATGATACGAAGCCGTATAGCGTGGTTTGAGATGATTCTGAGATTGCAGTTGGTTGGGTATTATTGCAAAAAGACTCAGAAAGACACGATCGTGTCGTCTCCTTTCAATCGCGACAGCTGACGCCTGCATAAGAAAATTACCCTGTCCTTTGCCATTACTTGAAGGCACATTTATGTACCTTTTTTTACCCATTCACGACTAGGAGCTTTTTGCAATAAAATATGCTCTGGTGAAGTTTCGTGTTCAGCTCTTGGGTTCAACTCCGTCTATCGTCTACATAGACTACCCAAGCTTGCATTATGCACTTCAGTCACCTCAATTATCACAGCAAATGGCTCGCTGGTTATCCTTCTCCGCAGAATTAAAATTCACGGTCGCGTACAAGTCAAGGAAATTGAACATGCTGGCAGATGCATTGTCACGTCGTCCTAATTTCAAGCTAGCTCATCTCAGCTTTATCGGAACGATGGATTCGATATGATACGTCGAGCGGATTATGGGATGAACAGTGTGATAGTTCCTCACAATATATGACCCTTCCCATGGTACCGTCCTTCTACAGCAAGTTTAATAGTGGGCATTAGTCGCACGAGATGCGATGCAGGACATTGGCAAATCCAGTCCATTTCCTCAAATTCTTTTGATTTCGTGGCGTTGGCCACTCCACGATTGTCTTGAGTTTATCAAGATCTACACAAACACCATATTCACGAGCATAATAACTGAGATCCGTTACTTCGTCTGCACCGAAAAAGAATTCTGCAAGATCTGCTTGTAATATTTGTTTACGCATACATTCTAGCCACATGGAGATGCTCCAAATGCATGTTTGCGGTAGATCTGCCATCTTCGCCCGTCGAATGGACAAGAATATCGTTGAATCATATTCGTGCGAAGCGTCGCAGTGGTCGAAACATATGTGAGGCCAACCGATTGAACGTTGCTGGGCATTGGATGACTCCTGTGGTATTCCATTAGATACCGGACGGTGTACTAATAGTCGTCAAAGGGACGTCCTCCTCCCTCATCACGATTTAGAAATACTTATCGACCAGATTTAGTACAATTTTATGTGTACAAACGGACATCCGTCGAATAATGACATCCTTGCGCAAGATCAGTGTTTGCGCGAGAATTTTTTGCGCATTCAACATTTTATAGGTGTGAACGAAACGCCATGAATCATTTGGTTTACGGACACAAAACGTCGGTGCGCTGTGAGGTGCCAAACCGTCAGCGTGCGTTTGAACAAATACTCATCAAAAGAATCAATTTCTCACGCGACAGTGGCCACTATCGAAGCACTGCATGTTTCAAACCCGGTTCACGATCTATTTCGTGTTGAGCTCCACGTTCGGGTGGACGACCAAAGGTCGGATTCGTACGAAAAACGTCATAACTAGTAAATAATGAGGATCAGTTGGAACCTTAAAAAAACCGATTTTCTGCGTGATTCCACACGCTGTCCAATTCCTCGAGAACGAAATCATCCGTGGCACATTATGTAGTTCCGCTGAGCCGACCTTTGACTATACTAACACGACTTCCGCAACGACTTCACACTTGAGGTCGTGAAGGAAGTCATCATAAGTGAATTTCTCGAGCTGCACCAGCTCTTCCATCATCGACAACGGTGCCAAAAGAACATTCTCGGGTAACTTCACAACCAGTAGTTGCATCCACATTATGTGAATCAGCGTATTCGCATGCAATATTCCATCATGGGGAGTAGGAGGCTGGACTAACTCACCCGCGGACTCAACCGCATCCAAAGCAGGAGTATCAATATCGCGATCAGCAAATTTCGTTGATTTCTTCACATAAGTGTGCTCAACAAAATGACAGTTGGAAGCATCACCTTTATGGTCGGTTGTACCCACTGACCCACAATCCGACTCAACCACTGTATTGGTGGAAGTATTGGCATACCCAGTCATAGACGATTCCTTCGACATTCCATTACACAAATGGCGTCAACATTCTCTCGTCTAGAGGAAGGCTACAACCGGCATATCTCCCTCAGAAACTCTTTCGTTTGGAAAAATCCCCCATGACCACCAACTATGTATTCGTTTTTACATGGCCAGTACTGGGCACAACTTGATCTATCGACACACTTCCTGAGTGACTTCCGCTGTCCCTCATTTCGATTTCGTTCACTCAATACGACTTTATGCCTTCCTGAGTGGTTACTGCTGTATCTCAGTACAACTTCGTTTTTTTGCTATGTCAATTGCATGACATACACCAACGAAGCGTAGATCATTATCATCAGCATAAAAATGCCTAGCACTTGAGCACTTCATCTGGTGGATAGTGAAAGTGTGTTCATTACTCCCAAGAGTTCCACCTACGCCAGCTCCCAATCGTTTTCGATCGACAATCGATCCATGGCTCGTACTTCTCAATTCACGGCATATTTAATTTCAGCTCATACTGTTTGTCCATCTCTAGAGCTGTGGATACCTCCTTCGAGTTGAAGTCTTCAAACCTTTGTTGCAGACCAAGCATGGTTGGCCACCGCACCACCGGCCAACATCACTGAGATAAAGCCATTGCTTATATCTAGTGTATCCAAAAGCACTGATACGTTTCCAGCAACATTTTGCATCCGCGCATGTAACGCGACGCTCCGGAGTCAAACAAGACTTCTAACGGACGACCGTAACCCTACACGCTCGCTGTGACCATGAGGAGACCACCCCGACTCGTTCTGCTAACGAAGAACAGGAATCCTTCAAGGTCTAAACCCTCCTGAGTGATTCTACCACCAAACCCACAAGAGTTTATCATTGCCTCAGCAGACCACCCTACATCTACTGGGCATATGCGACTCTTAAACGCCTCGTTATATTGGTACCACGTGACTCGAGACCATTTCAACGAGAATTGTATTGAGAGGTACTTCTCTTACTTGGACAATCACGGCGGATGTGACCAAATTTTTGACATCCGTAACAGCGAATCCGCAGCCTACGAACAGACACCGTGTTAAAATACATTGGTTTTAAATTTCCAAAGGCAGTTGTCACTGCTTCCATCGGGTTGACCGATCGACTACATGCTTGGCGCTGACGGTAGTCCTCGCGCAATGCAGTCATAATTGCATATTCCAGAGTTGTCGGGCTCTGGTGGAAGTTTCAGTCTTAGAAAGACGATAAAGGGAGTCCCTCAATAAATACAGTGACCACCACTGCCATACTGACAAGAAGCGGAGCTTCTGTACATAATCGTACAATGTGACGCTGTCTTGACGGCATCAAAAAAACATCGACTGTCGAAAAACCACATTCATTGAAAGGAACTGACCCTTTTCAGGGCTTGTCACATAGCGAAGTAGCCAGAGCGATTGACGTCTCATATTACCACCCAATCCTTCACACGGCCATCCAAATGCGACATAGTAAAGGTCACTTGACTACGGTCATCACAAACTGAATCATCGAGATGGCGATGTCGCCTAAACGCACGATTTTCATCTTTGTTCACGTGAAAGCTTTTTATGTTTATTTTCACGGGACATTCCGTTTGTCACCACCACTTGTGAGAGAGGTGACGCAACTCGGGTTGGTATGTTCTGCGATAGAATCCTAATACTCCTTGCTCATACGCAGCAAGATTTGCTTAGCGCTGAGTTATCGCCTCTTGATCCATTTGGAGCATATCGGAGACCCGTGCTCTCCGATTTAAGCTCGCAGTTTCATTACACACTCCCATTGCGAGTGTGTTAGGAGCGAATATTACTCCCTGTTGATCCAAGGACGTCCACCGCCTGTGGCGACCTTATTATCATTTGACAAATCCATCGAAGTAGTCGGCGTTGGAATGACTACTAGTGCAATTAAGTGTAAAGCGGAATTTCCCGTCCGTGTATACACACTTTTTGAGGAAGGCTTAGGTCAGCTGAGTCGCCTCACCGCGAGTTGCTGGGCCGCTGACCTACGTAGAGAGGAGGAAAGGCAGACATTCAATATTATAGCCAATAGGCTTTACACTTTTCTAACCAGATAAGTACATTCAGTTCAGATTCAACAGTACTGAAAGGAGATATACAACAATACAGGGTATACAGTTGATGTCAGACACAAATTATGTGCCCCACTCTTCAATTGTGATGGTACCTTGCCCATTGCGCGAGCATGCGGACTAAATTTGAAGAGATCGTACCATACCGCATAGATCTGCTTGTTATTGAATGAGCTAACCCTCCTCTATCGTTTTAAACAAGCTATGATGGCAAATGACTTACTCATGCGCCTACACTCAAATTTCGCTCGAAATTTTGATGTAGATATCCGTACTGATATCTCGAGCTATGCATCTCAATGGCTAGATATACAGTCAGAATTAGTACATAAATTGGCAAGATTAGGTCTAAACAACTGCACGATCAGACGTCCGAATGACACGGGCTCATTAGACGCTCTCTGGGGCATAACCAGCCACTCCCAGGACATTGCCCTGACAGCTCAATCCACGCAGAAACAAACTACTTATCTCCAGGAAGATCTGATACTAAGCTTCAAATACGTCAAGGGTACTGAAAAAGGTATGCTGTTCAGCATCACCTTGCTAAAACTTGAAATTTGCCCCGAAATAGCGGCTACATTAAAAGTCTTTATACGCATGCACTATTTGCCGTAAGAAGTCTGGTCAACTCAAGTGTATCGCGCCACTTGCGAATCGAAATGTTTTCTGACACCAGAAATCGGCATCATGTGGGGCGATTCTTTAATTAATAAAATCCGAGTCGCTTTTACCGCTTAAAAAGAGCTTTCGTCGTATGGCGCAGTATTTGAGCCCAGCAACTAGGTCCACCTCACACCTCACTCCCTGATGTGAGAGCAGCACGCGGGACGATTTTTGCCATAACGACGTGCCGAACATACAAATTCATTTAAAAGGAGATCGTGAGAAGCTGCGCCATATTTGATTTACCATGTATTACATCTGTGCAAGTGCTGAGCCAGGCCAAATTGCATCCATAGGATCTCTGAACCAGGGATCCTGGCGAAAGCATGATGGTTTTGGATTTCGCGGGATCTGCCAGCAGGCCATGCATCAGAACAAAGTAAATTAGGTTGAAGAATTCATCGGCACCAGAGTAATAACGCAAATGCAATTATGATCTGAACAATACCGCAGCATAATTTAAAATGTGTTGATTATCGCCGAACGAGAAACGATCGCGCAGATACTCCCCAGCAACGAAGTACGTGTCCTTCTAAAACTCTGAATGCAGTATGAAGCACCGTAATGCATATCATGACTAGTACTCGGTACGGATATGAAAGTGATGCCACTGAAAAACGAAAGTTACGTGAGCCACATGATATGCTAGACTTACCCAATGCATAGCTATCATGTGCTAGTAAGCAAATATTACACTTTGTATCATTCTAGCCTGATCTTAGATACACAACTATAATTTGAGCAAGTGTGAAGACAAGGTACCCTAAGTAGGCTTGCTTGGACATCTTAGCGATCGGTGAACTCATTCTTTGTGCGCTGACTGAGGAAGTTTTAAGAGTGTTAGGCGTGCGGCACCCCTATTGCGCTACATTTCCATCTTTTCAGCGTCGTTAATTGCAGTTCTAATGATATGCAAATGTCTGAATAGTAATGTGAGTCTCAAATGCATCTACCAAGACATAAAGCAAATAAAACGAATGTTTCGCATACACCTTGTGCAGTCATTACCGAACATAGCTTGGTGTGCTAAAGTGCAGGTTAGTAATCAGAGGATGGGATCAAGCACTTGATATTTACAATTAGACGACATAAAGCCTTCAAGACAATAGATATTTAATTTGCAAATCGGATTGTCTATGAATCTGAACCTATGAGAGCTGTATTTTAGTCCCGTAAAGTAGAGCATTCAAACCAGCACTCGCATATTAATTTGTATCAGAACTGTGGATTTTGATATTTGACATCTTTCTTATCAAAATCTGATTATGGATGGAAGGAATCGAATTCAAAAATCCAAAAAACTATTTTGGCGAGAAATATAGCGGTGTAGAGTCATAGCCATACAAAACATCAAATATACTCACATCGAAGGAAAGCTTCTGAGGCTTCTTAATTGACCTCGACGTGATCAATTTGATCAGACACATTTGCCGCTCCACTCCTTAGCATTCATACATTACTATAAATTCAACTTGCACATGTTTCATTATAGGATAGTGTCATGTATGTCCGCTGCACTTATCAGTGATGGCTGATGGTTTCTATTAGGAATCTACACTAGTGATGAGACCGATGTGTCCATACCATCTGATTGATTGGCGCGAGTCAGTCTCTTTGTGTAAGCTTTCGACAAAGACTCCAAGTTCAAATTTCTCAAAGTCTCCCTCAAAATTCCCAAGGTCTCCTTTGTCAGATATATAAGTTTCGCGTTTGCATGTGAAGGCCTTCTATATATATGCTTTAGGTGCTCTAGCGGATTTGTCATGTAGCATTAAGAGTTTATCTCTTTGAAATTCAATTCTATTTGAAACTTTTCCTATGACTCCTTCTTTTAATCGCAAGCGCGTGTACCGAGTTAGCGCTACCACGGAAAGCTTCCAACTTCTGGTGGCACTTTCTATTAATTCCAATGGCCAAGTTGAAAGTCTGCATAGGCTGTTTGTGTAGCATGCGCTGACCTTTCAAGATTAAAATAGACAAAGGAAGAGATGAAGACGCCGAAAGGTTCAATGCTCGGAAAGATTGGAAAATTGTGAAAGCAGCACTTTCCATCCATGAGACCATGACTTCTTCACAGCCAGCCAGCAACCTCGTGATGACAGCAAAAATTCTCCTCTGAAACTCGGTACATCTCCGTATCGTCTTGAAGAGAACAAACCTTTAGCGAGATGGCTTTCTGATTTGGATTCAGCGATGCCGCGCGACTGCTCGTGGACCAAGTCTGACCTTGCGGGCCAAAGGAAGATTCGGACGAATGGAAAGCGCTTGATCAATCCAAGTCGCTCTTTCGATTTGAAAAACTTCAAGCTTAAGCTATAGAAGGCTTTCGGGCCTCCGCAGAGCACGTTTTGATATCGTGCTCGTCTTCAGGGTACACACGATCTAAACGCTACGGAAAACGAGCGCGATCTCTTCTCTTAAATGTCTCTAAGAAGCCGAGTGATGTCCAAACGCCTTTATAACATTCATCGCATGATTCAGAGACTGTCTGATCTGGTACAGCTGTTATATGAATATGCAAATACGATGGCCGAAGCTATCGAGCGTACGGCGCAAGAAGAATTGATCAGCGAGCTTATCGCTTGTTCAACAAGACAACAAGGATGACCGTATGATGGTCTGACACTGATGAACATTTCGCGCGTTGACTCGACCATCAACAGACAGCCACGTAATGACGAAAAAAATGTTTCCGCTTCGACAAGCCCGATTACACCGCGAGATATTGTACGGTTTCTGCTCTTGACTCTGCATGCGAAAAGCTCGTTTAAAGGGAGGCAAATGCCTGTAGTGCTTCCTTTCTGACCGAACGCATGTCGTTCGACTAACATCTATTTTATGCATTCTACCTAAGTGAAGACGTTGTGCAGGGTTCTACTGCCATCAATACCAGGCCGGACCTAGAACCAACACAACCTTCGCATGCTTTTCTTGCGAGTAGAGAAACACAGATATCGTAACTTTAGCGGTGGTTCCGTCACAATTATTATTATCCTTGTCTCCTCTACAGCCCCCAATCGCTTGATCAATCAATCTGCGGAGAATATGCGCCGGTAAATAGTATAATTTTCACTCTCATTTGTCTGAGCCGTATGTCTTATTGGGTCGAAGAACATGGGTGTGTTTCTAGTTTGCGTGCAATCATGATCTCTTGCAGGTCAACCATGAAGCGTTCGTTACCAACTTTTATACGTAGAATTTCACGCTGAATCGATTGGTGCAATCAGAATTTAAAAAAAACGCCTACAAGAAGAGTTAAAGGGATGCTCATAAAATTATTGAGATAGAAAGATCTGGAGGAGGAAGGTCAGAACCGATAAGATTCCAGTCACATCACCATTGAGCTAGGTTGGTCTGAAGTAGCAGGGGTGATCTCGCGATCTCGTCTGGTGCAGCATGTACACAGTTCATTTGGAGATGTTGTCTCGCTCGGTTGAAAATCTTGTTCTAGTGAGGTTTGTGCGATTATAATTGCTGCGTCGTATCAGACACAAAAGCTTTTGTTGCAGACTCAGAGCTGTCGTGTCACGCATCTCTTCCACTGCTCTCAGACCTGCTCGAATTTGATGAAGGGTGAAGACCTTCGATAACGTGCTGGTCAATATCACGAGTGGCATTAACAATAACAGCATACTATGATAGATACTCCGAGAAGCGACAATAGCCGTGTAGACCGGGCTGGTTCATAAACGATAGGGTAACTAAATGTACCAAGTGGACTACATCGCACTGAAGTTTAAAAGATTTGGGGTGACCGCTCAGCGGTTTACAGAAGTTTATTCGACTACAAAGCGAAACTTTGGCGGCTTTGCGGGCTTGCATCATCTGCGAAGCACTAATCAGGAGCTGACGAATGGCTTGTGTTTAAAATTATTTGGGCATCGATGCCTGTCTGTGCGCAGAGCAGGACCGACAGCACGTTGGGGTGGAGTAGACACCGTCTTTACTCTGGGATCCAGGGTCCGTCATATGTTGGCTCAATCAAAGTGCATGAGCGCTGTGCTCAACAACAAAAGAGAGGCAGACTGCAAAACGTTCCCTGTGTTCAAGTTTTTTAATAATCAGGCAAAGAATCGCGATGAACAGTTACGTCTCATAGACACCTTGGCGCCGATATACTAAGCTCTTTTGCAATAAAATGTGTTGGTGTCTGTTGGGTCGATATGAATACGATTTCTCATGTAGAACGGGGCCATTTTGGTAATGTGGAGACCAACTCACACAATCGGCGCAATTAAGCCTTGACGGAGCCCATGAGCGTCAGCGTGTAAGGGTTGTTCGTCGCAAGGTGTGCCTTAAAGTGCCACTATCCATGGCGTCGGCAATACTTACACCATCAAGTAGCTGCTGGAGATTACGCTTCGCTTCACCAGTCTCAATCTCGTTGATTATCTCTGAATACAATACTTCGAACCAAAATGGTTAATTTGTTAAGGAAATCATTAGATTTCACGTTGTTATCAAATCAAGCAAGGCTTCGATCTTTTGCGGCGCATAAGCATGGGATTCTTTTTCATCGAAACGTCGCTGGGCAGTAGTCAAACTTGATCCGAAAGGTGCTGAATTCGTCAACGTATTAACATGCTATAACTCCACCATGACGCTTCGACCAAAATCTCATCAGGATGGTGTCAAAAATTTCACTAGCACGAATATATTCGCCTTTGCGCTTACAGCTAATTTTAAGCACCACTATGAAACAAAATGCTGTTGCCAGCGGTGGTGTCAAGCGCTGCTGCGAATACGTAGGGCTGCGATGGCAACACGACTTGGGAACCTGCGAGCAGATCGCGTCGGGCGGTAAATTATTACTGAGCTTAAAGGAACGACCTACATTCACGGAATGCTCGCCCATACAGGTTGTTATTTACCGAATAAAGCTTCTCTTTACCAGTCCACCCGGATTATGCTAGATAATCTGTCACATCTATAGACGTAGCTTTTTTTAACACACGGGGTTTCAAAAATACGACACCCTTTTAGCGCTAATGTTCCTCACGATCATCAAACCGTAAATGTTACTGCTCTAGCTGTATAAGAAGTAAGATATATGAATCACCGAAGATTGCCACTACTAGCATCTTCTGTACCGATGATTCAACGCTTTTCTCTTGGGCTATCTGGTAAACATATTTCGAAGCTTAATCGTAACAAACGGATGCTTATGCCTCAAAATCGACAGACTACATTACTCAGAATCCCAGGCACCAAATCTCTTCGTTGTGAGCCTACCGACAATATGTTTGGTCAAGTTCCCATCGATATAATGCTTGACCTGTCTAATATACAATGGATTTCTCCAATGGTTTCACCGCGCTCGCATTCTGCAAGGTGTTCGCTGATTGCGTTGGTCATGATGCTCGCTTGGGATGGCGCTACACAGTGCACGTACCAATTTCACATCGTGGCGTAAGGCAACGGCAATACGCACTCAATTGTCTTACGCTCGCACATAGTTTCGAGCGCAACAAAAACACATTTTTTCATCCCCAATTAGTTTCCTTATTATTATTATATATTTTCGATGATGATCTGTTCGTACCCAGTATTGAAGCCCACTCAAGCCGTTAAAAGCTCAGTTTGCGACTCCAATTGATCGTTTGTCAACATAGGCCTAACCTTATTCGATCACGCCACGAATTGTGCTATTGTTGATTGTGCTACCGTCTTGAGGTTTTGAGATCTCTCGATTATGTTGATAGTCTGATGGGACATTGTGTTTTGCTTTGGTGAGATGTACTGTCTCAGTTGTAACAACAGGTCTGGGGTCTGAGATATATGATCGAGTGAAAATCGACAACGCGAATTCTTTCCTCTAACCTTATTAGACTATAAGATTAACTTGCTGATCTGGCTCCGCGCCGGAGCCTAAACTCCTTTTGATCTCACCCTCAGATCCTTAAGTCACTAAGCCTGTACATGGTGGATGAGTCCAGCGGAGCTACGCCAACATTTTGCATTGATCGGTGCCTTGGTAACTTCTTAGACGCTGAAGCATCATGACCAGATGCTAACGCGTATGCAAAAACCACATTGACAACTGACTCGTGTCAATAACAGTCCACCAGCTCCTCTTGCTTGTGTGAAAGGCACCAAGCCCCCTTAGAACCTCACCCAGTTCAGCGGCATGACATACAAGCACGGAAGCCAAGATCAAGGTGTTTGTGGGCCAGTCCAAGCACACATGTCGATAACAACTGCCGATTTATTGAGACATAAATTTTTGACTCACCTCCTGCCATCTGCCGGTGCGCATTTTCTTGCTTCTGCGCCATGCACGCACCGACATCATTTACTGCGTACGCACTAGGTTGAATGCACTATATATTGTGCGGCATTTGTTCTTTAGATGTGTCTCAGCAGCAGGGCCGTGCCCTGCCTTATCTACATTTTTTGTCACCTAGCCAAAGTTGTTTGTTGTCGGCCTTGGTCGCCCACCAACCAATACACATGGTCGGCTGGACCTACCTGCCGTGAAGGGGATCTATGGCATACCACACATTGCATCACGCTCCACTTACTGTGAACGTGTGCAATGATGGCCAAATTTGCCAACGTACACCTCTGGCATTGGCGACTGAGCTTCAGGTTGTCTACGGTAAGTTGAGTGTATATTTACGTGCTTGTGTGTAAGATGACGAGCAATAAACGTCACTACAGGCTGCAATCACCCAAATTCGATGGTCTCATTCGTACGGTAATTTTTTTTGGAGCCAACTCAGGGATCTTTCGCTGTGCGACTTTGGTAGTTGTCCAAAGTTCTACGATTATCTCACTTCCAGCTTATTTAACCACGTTCTGACGCAATATCGCACCCGAACAATCCTGTTGTAATATCTGTAGCTCTTTACATGAGTGTCCAGAGCATTTATACAGATGAATTTCAAACGGTAATTATATCGTGTCAAAAATCGAATGAGAAGGCGATTAAGGTCTGAGAGCAATTTGCCGCCTTGAGCCCTTTTTCTGATTTCTCAATTTCTCGCAAAGTCTCCAATCAAGACGCCCAAGATCGGATAAACCGCGCACTTCCCAAAGCCTTTGAAGCAGCTCCAACAATGATTTGCTACGCAAACAAGACGACAACTAGGACCGGTATCCTGACTACACGGTCATCACTAGAGCTCAGAAGGGTGACTGGCAAACCGAGTCTGATTTATGATCCGGTAGTCGCAGATGAGACCCCCATGGTTAAATGTCATCATTGATTAGTGCGACCAGATAGTGACTTCGCAGTTATCTCTGCACCAGGGTCAAAGACTAGAAAATCGTCGCCAGTGCCCGAAAGAGTGGCGGGTGATTCGAGCGTGACGTTTGCTGTTGAGGATGCGATCAGCAATTTATTGGACGGCGTGCCGACAACAAAACCAGGAGGCGGCAGCTACTTCCAAGTTGCTTGTCACGCCGGATCAAATTCCGGCTTTGAGTTGCGACATGGACCGTGCCTTTTGGCGTGAAATGACCAACGGCTATAGGAAAGACGCTCATCAAGCTGTCTCAATACAACATGGTCTCTAAAAATTAGAGAGCATTCTTTAAGACAACGTGGACTCTAAAAAATAGAGATCATTCTTTGCAAGGTACACAAAAGCTTTGTCGCGCGGCTTCGTCGGCAGCTAGTCGTGCCATGTATTATAGCAAGCAAATAACGAAGACGGCCGACGTGGTGGAAGCCCCCGGATTTTCACTAAAATAGTGCAGTCAGGGAAGAATCTTTTGCGGGCTAGATACTCGGTAAACTGACGCCATAGAGCGCTTGGTCCTGACAAGTCCTCAAAGTCATGCACCAAGCGGACTTTACGCTTTGATAGAACGAGATAAATACACTTCCACGGTTAAAGTACACATTACACGCTTGTTAGTCGGGCGTAGACCAAAGTTCAGAAGCACCTCATGATGAAGTACGATGAGTAGTAGTAGATACGTAATGAGAGTGACGACTGGAAGACGAATGTGCCTTTTACAAGCCCGCTTCAGTAAGCGGACATTCAATTAGAGCGTCGTCTCACACGCTTTTTGCAAATTACAAAGCATGAAGCGGTCATCGAGATAAGATTTCTAGTCCACCACTTTACAGTCTGCTTCTTTCATGAGACAACTTTCGGCTACCGACCCATGGTCATATTTATCTTGCTCACGTATATGTTCGGCTTCTTTGCACTATAAGGAAGCGGAGCGACGAGTGAGGTTCCCGCTTTTTTAAAAATGACAAAGGCTGAGGATGAGCCAGGTTGAAAGCGATCCCGACACTGGGGTAAACTTTCCAAAGCGGAATTTCTAGCTCTGATGAGGTTTCTGATTGAGATTACCCCTTTTCACAACAAGATGCTGGTGATAACACATATGTATTCGTCGACCAACAAAAAATTTCAAATTTTGGTCGTTGAGCAGTACCGGCGAAGATTGACCTTACCGCTATTGAAAATTAGTAAGATTTATTATGTTTGATGTAGCGCAAACATAGATCAGTATTTTAGGCGGTAAACACTGCATGTGTTGTTTGAAAAATCTACTTTAATAAGTTCTTATGTCCCACAACACATTCGAGTGCGCTCCGTCTCCCTGTAACGTTGGCATATTAATATTTTATAGAGTGATTCGCAGCTGAAGCATCGCCCATGCGCATCACCAACAAAATCCTTGGAATAAACCACTGGAATTACTGCAAATCAAAACCAGGTTAATATCAGCAAGTTGAATTTGATCGTAGCCCCTCGTCCACTTAGATTAAAACTGAAGCCAATTTGCGGCGGTATTTAGGGTCATAGTACCGCCGACAGCTGCGAGATGCTCTCAATCGCTTAGACTGCCCATATAGACCACAAGTCTTTATTTAATGGAGTGTTAACACTCTGCTGGAAATTAGCAGGCTAGCGAAAGGCACCGACATTTGCAACAAGGGCTTCGTCGGCTGACACATTCACACTCGCACTCATTTGTTTTTATCCAATTATATATATTGGCTGCCAATACATTCACTTACTGAGCAGTATAACTTCTCTCCAGAAGTGGCCATCCGGAGTGATGACATCAGGATTCAGTACTAAAGCTATCATGAGGCACCACTACATACTGAGTGTTATGTGGTTTAGCGATGTAACACAGCAAGCCGCAAAAAGGCATAGCGGTGCAGGAATGCAAACCGCGCGCTTCGATAACGCGACATCTAAGATTTCAAATGCCTTTTGTCTAAAAAATTCAGCAACGCTGCATATGTTTCAACTGAAACGTACGCTGTAGGTATCGCCATATTTGTCTACGCCAGCATCTTAACATGCGTCAATTCATGCGTGGCACGAATGCGCACCCACCACCGCATCAAGACAATCCATACCTTCAAGGTAATTTGCAAATAACGTTATTTATCAACCGCTCTCTGTGAAAGATATGATGTACAATATCACTATGCGCAGCGAAGCATGTATGTATAGATCACAAACGGCTTAGAGCCAGGCAGGTGCACCTTGATCTTGACAAGGTATACTTCACTGCAATAAGACCTCGTGTATGAGCTGAATAGTTTTTCTCACAAACTTCCATCTCGCAATATGTTAACCGCGATTACGCATTCATTCTTATCGGCATCTGCTTGTGGTAAAATGCAGCCTCTTGGACTGGCCGAAGGTCTCGGACGATGTGGAATGGCCGATCAGGATTCGGAACAGCAAGAATCGAGGCAAGCATGAAGCTTTTTTCGCCGACTATCGGTCACCTCAATTTGGCATCCCAATATTCTTTGCTTTCTTTGAGGAGGTTGGTAAGGGGTCGTGGTGAGTCGGCATAGTTTGCACTGTGCACGTACAGGTAGTTGACCAGACCATGTCTCTCAATCGATTCTATATAGACAGCATTATTGGCCAATCTACAATTGCCTTTTTTCGTGTTGGTTATGTTCGTAGGTCATGCTTTGTAGTAAATCAGCTCGGAAAAGAGATCTTGCTGGCCTTAAAATCGCGCTCGTCAATCATTGGCGAATAGCTTAGTTCAAGGCGCATTCTCGCTAGCGCTTAGTGTGGCTCTCTTTGTCCGACTTCTCGTTTTCCTCACCACTATGGACGAATATATCGTCGAAATCCTAAACCGTGAGCCATATACCCATGATGCGATTTGAGCACTGTATCACCAGACGATTAACCGTCGTTGGGGCATAAGGCAGTCTCTGTGTCATAATAAGGTAGCCCCAGGCATTCCGTTCAAAGTAATTATAATACTGGGAAGGGTATCGCTTTGTCTAATCGTCATTTAAATTATTCATCAAGCGAGGTCAACGGTACAGAACAAGCGCAGCCGATCATGCTTTTCGTCAGCACTTTTTTAAATATTTAGTATTTGTGCCAGAATCTTCACTGGAGCCAGCTTTATTATACGCATGCATACTTTGCCACTTTCCTGGAACCTATCTGGCCCAGAATTCCAGCCCTGGGATATGGTATTTAAATTCTCCATCAGACTAGCCTTGTTTTCCCATGATAGAAAGCGTCAATGACGTCACACCGCTCCTTGGCTAAGGCTTTTGTTGTGTCACGCCTATTTTTACGAACGGAGTCAATACCTTGATATATTACCCATCCGGGAGTAACACGTGTGGTTGATCTTTCTTCACTTAGTCGTGGTATTATTCACTCAAGGATAGAAAAAATACTCATGATCTTTGACGAAAGCTGTCCCATTCTTCGCATGAAGTGCTTACGATATCTTAGATAGTAACCTTTCCAAGATGGAAGACAACTTCAGCCTCTTCTTCTTCTAACCGTGCCATTTCTGCGACTTCACTCTCTTCCAGATAATTCACAAATGTTATTAGGACAATATCGCGAGGCTGTGATAGCAGTCTCACAACCCCTGAGCTATCCCCGGCACCATTCAGGAGTTAAAAATAAATTTCGTCATCTGAAGCATCGATGCTACACACAGTGGACACGTCACCCGGCAGTGTATACTCAGCTATAACGTCACATCGAGATAAGGATAACCGTCTTTCACATTATTAAGGCTTAGCTCTTCTACTCGCGATTTACAGCCGCGCATCGAATTTATGCTCGAGTCAAAGTGAGCTGACTTTTGCCTCCTAACAGAGGTGGATACATGATTTATCAAAGCTTCATCATATAGTCGTAGCCTTCCAGCCACGCCGTACTAAGATGATAGCGTTCCAGCAACGCCATATCTAAGATGAATACTATAAAAACATCAGTTTTAAGGACAAGACAACATTTCACGCTATTAAATTCCTCAAACCTCACTTAAAGGGTGACAAGAATCTCCCACACTTTAACAAGAGCCCCATTGAACGACGTACGGATATCGTAGCCACTGTTAGCATTTTCAATGCCTCAGCGTACTACTGTTAAATGTTCAACGGTCTGGCGCCAATATAATTGCACTACGCTACATAATCAATTAGGATTTTTTTCGCGTAATCTTGTGTACTTAACCCTTGCATATTTGGTACAATTGTATCAATATCCGTAGACACCGGAGTATCGGTATTTATTTAGATTTTGGAACTCAGAAAAGAAGCACATAATTCGCTAAGAAAAAACAGGCTTGTTATGAGCAATGGTAATACTCGTCTAGCAATGGAGATATGTGGATATGGTTAGCTGAAACGTAATATTAGAATGGACTCTGTCAAGTCGTAGACCTCGATACGAGATATGTCCCTAATAATACGTATAAAATAAGTATTAGCTCAGATGTATGTATGCTCTTTTGGAGTAGCATCGAGTCCGACCCTTTATAGGAGTGTTGCTTGTTTTGGGCAGAGTACTCACGAGTTCAACGGGTTTGCTGTGGTAACACTCACAGATGTTAATTTTGTACCATCTAACATGATCCGAGAACCTTCAACGTAAAAAGTTAAAGTCAGCTTTCAGGACTCAATATATTCAAGATTAATGCAGATCAAATCAATATTGAATATTTGTTACATCTTTCATGATTCTATTATTGTTTTTGTTAGACGTGCGGTCATCTTTATAATTACCAATATAATCGGTACTAATGATTACTCAAAAATGCAAACAGGTTTCGTACAATTGTACAGTATCGACTGGATACAATTAAAAGTGTAAAGTGGAAATACGCAATACAGAAAAGTATCGTGGCGACCGGAAGATGTGCTGTGATACTAGCCTGCGTTGCTAGCTTCATTAAATGCAAATAACGGCTTTCGAAAGGAGCGACACATTAATGCAACGAGCATAACCATACTAAGCGAAGAGTGATGAGTGCCAACCAATGCAGTCTAGTACTACCAAAGCTTTATGTATTGATCATCACCAGAGAGGGCAAAATCGATGACATATGTATATTGAGAGACTAGCACGACAGTGGTGTGTCCGGACACAAAACGTTGCGAATGCAAAACCTTGTATAATGCTTGTAGTCAGCGCGTTAGCCTGGTAAGGACCAGCAGATATTACTTTTGCGTTGCGTCGACGACGTTTCTGCTTGTACGAATTTGATCAGTTGCTGCTAATTATGACCCCTCCTGAAGCTTTATGATCTCGCTACAAAGTCGCAGCGCTTTCATACAGATCGCCGTTACTGATCTCATTCCCGCACCAACTACTGCATCTTTTCGTACGTTTCCATAGTGAGAGTCGTCTTGATTCGATCAGCGAAATGTCACTGATTGGCCAATACATTCTATCATTCATCACAGAACCTTCTGCGGTGGTACGACAGAAACACTTCACCAAACAAACGGAGCTTAACGCGTTTAGTTTAGCAAATACTTTCTTCAGCGAAATTCTTTTAGTCGAAGGCAGCTTGCCTTAAAATATTTGAGTTGGTTCGATTTATAGCTCATTGCGATGGTGACAGACGAGTCTGCTTCTCGTTTGTTCCTCGAAACTTCATGACGATAAAGCACTCGCAGTGAAGCGATTGAGCAGGCGCTTACTGTACTTGAAAGTTCAAGGATTTAGCAAAAGTTGCCAAATGCTATACCCCAAAATCATGTAAAGCTCTTTCAGGATTGCAAATTAATTTTACATATTATGAGCTCACTTATCAAAACAATAGATAAAACAGCAGTATATGGATTGGCTTATCTGATTGCGAGCAACTTGTTCAGAAAGAAAGCTAAAGTCGAAACCAACATTATTAAATTTGACTCAGTAATAATATAGAAAGCTGTGATAGGTGGGTGTTACATGGATGCCTGTTGACTCGATTTATCCAAAATTACTCATCAATTTTAGACAGAACTTATAAGCTGTCTATTCATAAATAGATTCGTAATAATCTTAACGTTAAAGTCTTGGTACGTGAGTTTTTTAATGGCAACAAATGTTGTAATTTTTCTGGCGAGTTTTATCGAAAAACAACCGGGATGGGTTGGATAAAGAGGGGGTAGCACTCATTTCATTGATGCTGAGGCATAATGGGAAGTGTCACACCGACTTTCGGGTCTATACGAGAAAATCAGCTTGTATATTGCATGATTGACTAGTATGTGTGCATAGTCTGCTTGTAAGGACTTTGGCACTCCCTGAAGAGTAAAACGTGTAAGAACACTTCTTAAGACTATATATTCCTCAAAGATTCTACCAGTCTACTGAATCAAGAAATTTCCGAGCCATAGTTGGGGGATGTCACGTCTACAGGTTCACAAGAAAGGCGTCATCAGAGCTTTTCTTTGTAGATGATTCGCCCGCTAACAGTGTGGCATTTGCGAGGAAGTTGCATCGTCGACGGCAAGCTCAGCTTGCTCAACGAACCAACAGACAGCACTCCTGGCAGCACTGCTGGCAGGACTCATACTTACAATCGACTCCAGCTGAGCGCACGAGCCTGATAGCGACAATGGTGTTTAACCAATTATCGAAGATGGTCCAATTGCAGTGGCAGCACTTGCGCAACGCACTTGACGCCAAAGGTCACGAACATCGCATGCACCAGCGTTTGGAAAAGAAGCAGGCTAAGCAAAAGCGCAAAGCGACACGGCGAGCCATGCGAGAGGCCCGCCGTGCGAAGCGCAAGGAGCGTCACAAGCTGCTCTCTCCGACTATCATTGACGAGCATGCGAATGACGTTTTTTCATCATCATCTGATCATGGCATTGAATCGAATAGTACACCTGAGACGTGCAGTAAGGACTCAGCGCACTTTGCTGAAGCCCTTCTGGCAGACGATGGTGCTGTTTTCATTATGAATGACACAACTGGGGGACAACCGGACAGATTGCAATCAAATATCGGAGTAAGCACTTTCTCTAAAGAGACGGTGGAGTCAAAAGTAACGGTCTATGCAGTCGCTACCGTGCCTAAAATTCCTATTGAGATTACACTTGAAGTGAAGCCACAGCTGGATCAAAAGCAATGCAATTTTTACGATTCCCTGGGCGGCTACAGTACTGTGGATGAGGAAGAAGATGAGCTACGTGAGTTGCGGACACGCAGCCATCGAGAGAGTGATGCCGAGCTTGACGTCCACAACGGAAGTGCAACTGTCTTACCTACTGCAAAGAAGGATTTACATCCTAGCATACATGAAAAGCAACCCGGAGACAATATTGTTGGATCGGGTTCGTCCCCAGTAACAGCAGAGTCATCTTTGGAAATGTTCAGTACTAGGTCGCTAAAAAGCTTGTTTGAGACCGAGCACATAGACGAATTAATCAATTTGGAACTCATCGACGAGTATAGAACATTCGATAAGGAAACCTCGCGCAGTTTTTCCGTCGCCGACAACGAATACGATGGGCTTCGTGCACTTTCAAGTAAAATTTCTGTTGCGATGAATCAAAGCAGTGACGTTGGGACGATCAGTGATTTAAATCGAAGGGCCACGCCCTCATCGAAAATGCAAGAGCTTGAAGTGAGTTTTGACAGTAGAGTAGAGACTGTCCCCAACACAAACGAGTTTCTCAACGTTAATTTGAGTGCTGAGTACTCAAAATCTTCATTTGCCATGGTAAAAAATGGCCTTATACAGGCATCAACCACGCTACCTCGACTTTTGAGCAAAGAGGTGTATGGTGCAATTGAGCCACCTCGTCAGCACTTAAATGGAAATATCTTCAATGTCAAGACGGAAAGCGAGCCGAGTGTCTCTGAGGCCGTGGTAAAGATGACAGAGAAGAATGCTTCGCAGCCCGTCGCGTTTTTAGAAAAGGAGATGATTGCTGGCGATTTTGGAATGCCAGATAAAGGTGCGTTTTGAGAACGAAGAAGTCTCCTTTTGCTTGTACAACTCTTACAAAAAAATGGTGTTACCTCAGCAGCGATACACGAGTACGCCAGTTCTATCTATGAAAGCCTTTGCGCTCGTGAACATCGATACCACGTCACTGAAAACATTTTCGCCAAGCAACAAAGCGTGCGGCCCAAAATGCGCGCAGTACTTGTGGATTGGCTCGTCGAAGTCCATCAGCGATTTGAACTCGAGACGCAGACACTTTTTCTTACGGTTAATTACATTGACCGATATCTGGCTCAAATTTCAGTACAATCACAGCGTTTTCAGCTTGTTGGAGTTGCAGCTCTACTGATCGCATCCAAGTTCGAGGAAATTTATCCGTGCGATATGGATGATCTACTGTATATCTGCGAGCGGTCTTATGCCAAGGATGACCTGGTTGATTGTGAGAGGAGCCTGCTGAACGTATTAAATTTTAATTTGGCAGTACCAAGTGTAAGCAGTTTTCTTGGCTACTATTTATCGTACTTTGATGAGGAAGACGAGCTCATCGGTCAGCTGGCTAGCTACTTCGCTGAGCGTTCGTTGATGGACTTTACCTTTGGAGCCACATACGAACCTTCCATTATTGCTAGTTCGTGTTTGCTAGTAGCCCACTGCTACGCCAAGGGTCAGGCACCTAGCCTTGTTTGGAGTTCTCGCCTCGAAGATCTCACTGGCTACGCAGCCGAGTCAATCACCCCGTGCACGCGAGATTTGTGGTTGATTTTGACTCAACCTTGCGAACTTGTGGCTGTTGCGACAAAATACAGCACTAAAGAGTTTGGCGAGGTCGCTCATTTGCCCCTGGAAAATCTCAAAGCGGTGTTTGACTGACCTCTGTTCAACTACATTAACATTGTATATAAGTATTGGTTTGACTTTTAGATTGCAGGTGCACAAATAGAAGTTTTGCACTTGATTGTACCATTTCACACGATCTGTCTATATTAAGTAGAATCAGTCCTGCCGGCACTCCGGCAAACACCTGAAATAGAAGCCTGCAGTTCCTGTGCTGTTTGTAATAGTGAGAAAAAATTGAGATCAGTTTTTTCTCAGTAGGATGGCGGCCAGCCAAAACTGCAGCATGCAACGGCCACACATGTATTTATTCTGCTGACATGTTTCGAACATTCGCAAATATTTTTGTCCACTTTTAGTCACCAATACATAGCGCCCACCGAGCAAAATATTTTGTTTTCTTTCGAGGTTGCAACCCAGTTGCCTCATTTAGAAGTTATTAGTATATATATTACATTAAGAAGTTTATCATTTCTTATAAAGTCGTTTAGTGTCTTGAACTAGAGGTCTTCATCATGTGGAAGCACAACATGCTGAGTGTCATGTGGGTCAGCGCTGTAATCAAGCTAGCCTTAGGATAAAGGATAGCGGTGCACGTGTGCAACCGCGAGATGCGATGAAGTGACATGTGGTTCATAAACTCCTTTTTTTCCAAAGCTTTCAGTATTGTGACTCATGGTGCGTCTGATCCGTATGCTAGACCTTTCGCCTTGTCATTAGACGACGTCCCATCTTGAGAAGCAAAATTCATAATAAGGCGATGCAAAAACCATATGAAGATGCCCCAGCTTGTAGACTATACTCGGCAATGAAAGATGCTCACCTTGCCATTCTCTGTGATGGATGTGGTGACAAAATCGCTGTTTCCAAGGACGCTTGATTCGTATAAAAATATATAGTGGCGTAGATCCAAGCAGGTTCATCCTGAACTAACTTCATCACAAGTCATTTCATGTGGTAAACAGAATGTTATAACTTTGCCGCTTTAAGCTTATGAGACTCAAACGCTCACACGCGTAAATTTTCATCGTCCAACATGAAGGAAAGCACAACCTGATACAAAAGCTGAAGTGTAGCAGACTACATGAATTAGCTGATTTCAATTGGGCACGCATGAGACTATCTATCACAGCCTTGGAAGTTGGCTATTTCCCCCGCACTACTACTTGACATTCCTTTTAATGAGAATGAAGTTGGGTTGAGGTCAATCCACGACGGCATAGTTTGCACTATACCTGTGCGAAGATTTGACCTGGCCAAGCCACTTCCCAAAATTTAAAGTCAAATGGCATCAATGTAGAGTCCGAGGCACCCGGTAAATTATAGACTGAATGAGTGGTTTACAAAAGGAAACTATCCTATGCCAAATATTATGCTGCTGGATTGTTTGTGGTAATCATGCAGTAGACATGAACGTTCTCTACTTACATAATGTCTTGTTTTTTATCTTAGTTCTTGTTCTTGTTCATTTCCTTGTTCTTAATCTGATTTTCTCACAAGTATCATAAGCATACTGGCAATCTGTTGAGTGTTTATTTACCGTGAAGCATTAATGCATCTATTAAATGACTGCTACGGTTTCGTTAAGCTAGCAATATAAAAAAACCGCCACACTTTATCTTCTCAGATTCTGCCCAAAGACCATCCTGCCCAATGGCACAACCTCAAGATGAGACCCGAGCACTGCTCTCTAATGTGATTCTCCCATTCGGTTTTCTTTCGCCTGTTTAACTATATTCAAACATATCATCGATATAGATTTAAGCACAGCCACGGTGTGGCCTGAACTGATACGTCACCAGAAATTTGAACGTTGCTGGTGTATTGGACAGTTGCAAGGGCATCATGAGCTACCGGGGCATCCCGCCGAGGACTCACTAAAGTGAGAGGCATTTCGCTGTCATCACATGAGGTTTAAAATAATTCATCATCAGTTTAAGAGCGCAGAAAAAAGTACATCCGACCATGCTGCTCCGTAGTACGTTCTGTTGGAGAAATCCATTTTTGTTCGACACCATGGCAGTATCGAGCTTTTTGAGGCATGTCACTTTCCGCTCGCATTTCTGTCACATAAATTCGACCCCGAAAAGCGAAAATGTTCACTCCCAGCAAACCCACTTCGTGTTTTGCACGGAAGGCAGGAAACCTTCGACAAGAAGTTTATTTTATGATGCAATTCCCCATCCGGGGTTGGAATGCGTGGTGGGTCTCGTGTAATCAGGACGCAGTATTTATTTTACAAAGGTCTACAATAATCCGCAGAGTTTAAGAGGATACCTGCTTCTTTCTTGCACTCAATGCTCTACGACTGTCTTCAACGATAGACTCAAACCTGACGAATGAGGATAGCAGCTTTCTCGGTTCCCACCATACAAATTCGGTGACTTCACTATCTTGCACGCCATTCACATAATTCCCTGTGACAATTCTTGGGACTATTCTTCTATGTCGTAAAGTTCTCTTGCAGAAGTCTGTGAGGAGAGACTTTCAATCATAAGGACTACCCTGCTCACTTCAATCACGAATAAAAAACATTTTCGCCACTAACCGTGAAACCAAACTGCTCCGCACGGTATAGAACATGATTTTAAAATTAAGGTTGCTCTTCCGACCATTGCCATGGCATAATACTTGGTGAAAAAGATTACTACCTACTTGCCCACAGTGTGTGGTGGTACATCCCTCATGTACTTTCATGCACTTAATATTGTATGATACACCTGGTAATCCACCACTATACAAAAACGTGGAAGTCCAGGTGAGTTCACTATGAATGGATTCAAAAGAAAGTGTTTTTTTTCGTAGAGAGATCAGGAGTAAAATCTGTGCTGATAGTCGGAACCATCAGACTGACTAAGGGCGCCGAACTTTGTGCTGATGGTTTTTCCGTGATCTGGATATGCCTCAAGCTACGCAATGCGATTGCGAATTCGAGATCTAGATCATCTCAGAATTGGACGCACACCACGACTCTTAGATAGAGTCGACTTGCCTCCACAATCAAGAGAGCACACAAGAGCAAGATGGCCTACTTTCAAGATAATAGCTCGATTGGCGGGGATATCAAGGGAATTAGAAAAAATCTCTCAAATGGGAATAGTTGTGGAAGTTTGAGGCTCCATTTTGGCAAGTTTTACCTGATATCATGACTGCTTACGACCTGGCACACCCTTCGTTTTTATCTATTTTCGAGTTCAGGCTCGAAGTCTGTCGCAGCTAGCGCTACACTAAAAATTGGGGGTAGCCTTGAAACAAAAACACCATTAGTTACTAGCGGATACAGCTGTTTCGTGGAGTTGGGTGGGTAGGAGAATAAAAAGAAGGGAAGCTGGATGTGTTGTTAAGTCAGCTCACAACCCGCGTCGTCTTTTGACTTTACAAAGTCGAGAATGAGTCAATGCCTTAGACGACCCATCGAGTCGCTGAAAAACCTTTGGATTGACAAGTCGGGGTGTTGGTGATTTTCTCATACAGTGCGCAAACTGAATGTGAAGCTCATCAGCATTGTCGCCAACTTTTAGTTTCATTTCTATGGACTTACCAATTAAAAGAGAGCGCAGTTCATAGCGGTCTCTCGAACACAACACACACGCTTGTTCGAAGAGAAAGCGATTTCCGATATGGAGAGGGGTATAGGGCACGAGACTCCCGATTCTTTCTTTTATTTTATTTTTGATGATGATGATTTTACCATCATCAAAGATGGGTCTAAGAGGGTTTAATGTATGCCGTCAGGTTGGCAGAGCCTAGAAAAGACGAAACCAATCGGGCGTTCGATGACTGGGCCATTCGGACTGGAGCGCGAAATTATGACACTGTTATTGACTGCGATATCAAGACCGGCTGAGTAGAAAATAATGACGAGCCTATGCTTCTTGTCAAAGAGATACGTACAAGCGGATTTATGTCGAGTCAATTAGGTTCATACCGCAACGACGAAACAGATGGAAGTCTACGTTATGCAAAATGACGATGCTGCTATTTTGAAACTGAGCGAAATTTTTCACGCCGTGAACAGCACATCAGCCACAAAAAGGTGACTGTTGAGCCATATGGCGCACTCGATGTAAATACTTCGATGAATCGCAACGATTTTAATTTGTTCGCTGGACTGCTACATAAATATGATGCGAGCTTCGAAGTTGATGAAAGCATTGTATCTATATGGTTGAACCACCTTAAGCACGTCATATAAAGCAACGATGAATCGGCGTGTTCGTATTTTGTTGAAATACTTCAAGTATATTCTAATAAACCCGATGGAGAAAACCGGAACAGTGATCATAGTCAAGGGAAGACAAGGAAGCGAAACAGAAGCCGCTTTTGATATTTTCAATCGATACGTTATCGGCCCAATCTGTCATTCACGACCCCACGTATAGATCTGATTACAGGAAGATTCAATATCATTCGCCAGTCGATGAATATGTGCGTTTTAGATGAGGCTGTGGATAACTCTGATCGATCGGTGATGAACGTATTCCAAAAGCCTGATTACCTCAGATGAGGTCCAAATTGAATATAAAGGAAAAGAGCCAATCACCTTGAATGACTTCGGCAACTATGTTGTTATCTTGAATAATGATTTTGCATCGTTCATTGAAGAATCCGATCGACGATCATTGACAAACAATGATATGATGTAGACAGTACTTTGACAAATACTGAAAAACTCTGGATAATATTCCACTGGCTGGTCAATAATGTTGCTATCAATGATGATTGGCATCCGCAGGACACTCCCATCACTTCATATAAGCAAACACTGAAGCACTCACAGGCATCAACTCCGATCAAATTCTTATTACATACAATGGAGGTGTTGAAAGAAAATAATGATGACGAAACGCGCGAAGTCGAGATGAAGAGCGAGCTGTTCCCTCAACTCCTTACATTCTGCGAAAGTCAGGATTACAAGAAGATGTCCATGAGATCGTTCAGTATTATTGTCAATCCATACATGCATAATCGCAAAACTAAT